CGAGTGGAAAATTTTACACTGAGCTAGGTATGCGGCGTTGCGAAATCTCATCGAACAATCCTTGTCCATCTATATGCAACGGCATGAATATCTGTCATCTATTTAAGAACACAATCTGGAAGCATGTCAGATGAGGCATTGCAACGACTACACGCCAATTCGCCTTAGATGGCGGTGATCACACATGTATGCTTACTGTTACTTTGAATCTTATGCGTGCTATGAGCTTCCCTGGGTTCGTTTCCTGGCAGGCTGGATAAGCATGAAGGGCTAAAGCGTGCGTGAAACATTATGAGTTACCTTGTAATAGTCGATCTGTTTGTACATGACGGAAGCTTAGCATCTCGATGCACGGTCAAGCCATTTGATTTAGAGAGAGGGAACTCTTGTATATAATTCCAACCTGCACCTCCAGAGAGAGACCTTCAAGTCAACGTTACACTACTATCATAGTCTAAATTTAAATGAGCCTCTGGCAGGCTCACGACCGTTCATTATCCCCTTCATAGTCCCTCTTGCATTTTGACTCCCTGACGCGTTCTTTTCGCTCCTAGCTCCCAGTGTAGCTGCCACTGTCTTTAAAACCTTACGCACGCAAAATTCTATTCGCTAGCAAAGGGCCTTTGTGGCTGCAGCAAACCCTCACGAAGTAGCAGTTTATATTTCTGAAACCTCCAGCCGAGGCCCTTCGCTGCTGCAATTGCTTTTCGCCATCCCTACCTTCTCTCTGCAACTCGCCCAGCATCTAGATTGCGGTTGCATCTCATCACAAGAACAAAAAAGCGAAACCTCCCCCATTTTAACGCTGACCCCGGAGGCCACATTGTCTGAGCAGGAAGCACGAGCTGGAAGCTGCGACGAGATCTCAGCCCAATAGCTGTGCCGCATAAAGCGCTGAGTGCGGGCGCTCAATTTGAGCGCTCGGTGCTTCGTCGCAGTCGTCCGCAGGCCCAACCCTTCCTTCACGCAGGAACCTCTCCTGGCCAGTCGGAGACTTCCTGTTAAATAACTCCCCTCTTTGCTCCTTCACATCCTTCTGCCATCCTCCGTTTCAAACTGAGGTGAAAGTCAACCAGCCACTAATAAGCACCCCCCCCCCTGTTGACTGCTGCCCTTCGGAAAAAAGGCCCACGAAAAAAAAAAAAAAGAAAAAAAAAAAAAAAAAAAAGAAAAGAGCCTACGAAGGTGATAGCTCCACACAGATCACAAGCCTCCCGTCGCCTTCGCCCCCCTCTTCTATTTCACCCTCAGAAGCCCCCCTATACGCATCACAGCAACATCAACCCCCTACAATATGTTTTCCTCTCTAGTGACAGCTACGAAAAATAAATATGCCACCTTGCGGGGCGGCGATGAGGCAGATGGCGATGTAGAAGACGACTCCCACATTTCTCGCGTGCTACGAAATTACTACACAGAACAGGGGCGACCATTTCCTCCATGGCTCGGAGGCGGCCCACAGCAGCAAGGACGGCCGGGGCAGCAGGCCCAGAGTGGGCTCAGTCTACGGCGCGGGAATAACAATACAGGTCCACAACCAGGGGTGAAGACGACGTTGAGTGATATATGGGACGCACCTCCACAAAATCAGCAACCTTCATCTGGTCCCGGATCACAACAGGGGCAAGGACAAAATACAGCTGGTATGAATAAGATGCGATTCTTTAGACGGGACCAGCAGGCACCTCCATCGCAGCAACAGCCGTCACAGTATCATGGCCCGCACGACCAACCTCATCAACCTACACCAGCCCAATCAAGTATTCGGGATAGGTTATGGAGCAACCGGAACAATGCTGGGGGGCGAACTCCTTCACCACAGCAAGCGAGCCCAGTAAATCCACAGTATGGGAACCAGAGCTATGGAGGGAGGGATAGGAGTCCAGCACCACCACCTCAACAACAGTATCACGCCTACCCTGGAAATGGACATAGCAAAGGGGGAAATGATAAACCGGTGATGAGCGCGACTATCTCGTTTGGTCAGGATGACTGTGAATTAGGTGGATATGGAGCTCCGGAGGCATCATATGCTGCTAGCAGTGCGAGTTCAGGGTCTGGGTACCGAAGAGGCCCCCCATTACAGGGTGGGAAAGTCGGGCTTCCGTCAGGTCCAAGAATGATGAGGCAAGGGGGAGGAGGTTATGATAGATAGATGTTTGGCTATTGGATTGGGCTCCAGCGCAGGTTTGGATAGTATGCCATCTGCAGGATCATCCGCGCGCGTACTCGGCCAGCAAGGGACTGCAGAAACGAAGCTCTGGGCTCAGGAGACCAAGGTCTAGATTCAATAATTTCAGGGAAAGTGGTCATGATTGTCAACCATACATTTTCAACGTTTGATTCCACTTCTTGTAGATTTACGGGTGTTTTATTATGCTGTTTTGGTAATCTTGTTGCCGTTTTATGCTTTGTTGTGATTATTATTTTTCGGCAGCGCGGGCTTTATGACTGGGTATATAAATGCTTTTCAAAGGAGTGGGGTGGTCTGTACTGTACAGCTGTTAACGCCTTTTATACACATTTTAATGAATCTGAATTCAGAGTTTCATGGATTCTTTCTCATCTGTTGCTAGTGCAGACTTGATTGCTTCTTGGACGCTCACGCCGTCAGCAGGCGGCTCTTCCGTCCTTGCAGCTCCACACAATTGGAACCCCGTCCCGCCCACCCACGCCATTTATGACCCTCATGCTACGAGGACTGGGACCCCCGCACGTCAAATTTGCTCAGCAGATCGCGAGGGGTAATTTGCGACAATGCTGCTTGCACGGAGATGGAAATGGTAGGTTTGGGCGGCGGGGATCCAGACGTCCATTCACAGCAGCATCGGCCGCGACGTGTAATCGGACACGCCTCTACTCCAACGCTCCACGGAGTCGGGCCTCGGCTCCGGCCTATCCTTCCCATTATGGGCCCGTCGGCTCGAATTCCCCCTACAGGATCTGTCGCCATCAGAGCACAACGCCCCCAGGATCCCCGCCAGCCCCACAGTCGCCTTCACCGCGCTCCGATAATACCACTACAAGCACTGCCCCTCTACCCCGCTCCGATCCCGCAGCCGCAACACGCAAACCCCGCAGACTTCTCTTCCGCACAATCACCGTCCTTCTCTTCCTCAGCGTCCCGTTCAGCTACTACTTCTTCTTCCCCCGCTGCCATAGCTCTGGTCACCGGCGCCGACACGGCACAGAAATTCTCCACCCCGAATTGTTCAAGCCATGGGTTCTCGTCGACCGAATTCCAGGATCCGATCCCACACGGGGAGCGACTGCAAAGTCGGCGATATTTGTATTCCAGCCTTTGGGTGGGGGACGAAGGGGCGGCGAGGGGGGATGGAAGGAGTATTGGCCTAGAGGGGTCTGGAGCGTCGAGCTGAAGCAGCCAGATTTGATGATTGCGAGACGGTATACGCCGCTGCCGCCGCTGCGGGAGTTAGCGCTTGCGGAGCAGGCGCGACTCGGTGGGGATGAGGGGACGGAGCCGTTGGTGATTGAGACGGGGAGCGGAACGGGGGGGAAGAGCGACGAGGACGAGTTGAGGTTCTTCATTAAGTTGGAGTCGCAGGGGGAGGTGTCAAGGTGGTTGTTTGGGTTGCCGGTGGGGACGATCGTGTATTTGAGGGGGCCAGGATGGGAGTATGAGTATCCCTGGTGGGGAAAGAACGGAGGGAATCAAAAGGGAATGAAGAACAATACAGAAGAAAAGCAGGTAGGACGAGAGGAAGACATTGAGGAGGATACATCGCCCATTCCAAACCGCGCAATCGCCTTCCTAGCAGGAGGCACTGGCATCGCTCCGGCATTACAAGTCGCCGCGTCGTTTTTCTACCCGGAGAATCGTCCTACCATCAACACCACTACAAGTCCTAAGCCCGATTCCGGAACTACCACCCCTTCCACAGTCACACCAGAAACAAGTATTTCCATCCACTGGGCTGTTCGCAAACCTGGCGATATCGCGCCCCAAATTGCACAGGACCTGAACACTCTTACCAAGATTGCTGAGCTTGCCAAAAGGAAACCTGAACCCTCTTCCGCCCGCACAGCCACCGACAGCGGCACTACCATTACCGCAAGCTCACCCTGGCTTAGCACACCAGCCTCTCCGCAACCCTCTCCACTCCCACCAGTCAACCTCACTCTCACCCCTTGGGCACATATCGACTCCTTCAATACCTTCATCACCCCTCACGACATCGAGCACGCGCTAGGTCTTTCTTCCTCCCCCTTGTCCTCCTCACCATCCTCTGCATCCCTATCCCTCCTGTCCCGTGTAGCCTCTCTCCTCTCCTTCCTCTCTGCCTCGAGCCCCTCCCCCCACCCTCCATCGCCCCTACCCCAACGGCCTTCCTCCTCTATGAAACCAAAAGAAAACTACATACTCCTTTCCGGTCCCGAGGGCTTCATCTCGTATTTGGCTGGCGAGAAGGGACCAGATGGAGCGTCGCAGGGAAGAGTCGGAGGTATGCTGAGAGGGTTGATTGGAAAGTGGATGGAGGAGGAAGAGGAAGAAGAAGAGAAGGAAGATCGAGAGAAAGAGAAGAAGAAAATTGTTGGACCGAAAGTGGAAGGCAGGCAAATGAAGATTCCGAGTTCAAGATGGTTTATATGGAAGTTGTGATAAAAAAAAGGTTTAAACGTAGTTTGTGTGAGGGAATCACGTCTCAAGAATATATGACCTTTGTAATTTGGGGATACACGAATAGTCGTATCAGAACTCATCTCGTCCCCCTTGTGCAAGTTTCGTTCACAATCTTTTTCGAGGATTAGCTAGATATATGAGGGTAACGGCCAATTCAATTCCACGGGGGTACCACAATATTAGTCTCATGACTAACATATATACTAGGAATGATTTTTCTGTTTCTTTTGCTTTTTTTATTTTTTTATTTTATTTTTATTTTATGCCCCGCCCCTCCTTTTTCTAAAACTGGAAAAAAAAAAAAAAAAAAAAAAAAAAAAAAAAAATTTTTCGAAATAGAAGTAAAAAGAAGTTAACTTGCTCACACTGTGATTCGAACACAGGATCTCGTCATAAGCTCTGAGCTCCCTCGCCCTTACTAGTGACGCGCTTTACCAACTAAGCCATGCGAGCTGTTGGATGCTGGATTTGCAGCTGAGCATCTTCAATAATCAGGCGACTTGTACAGTTTGTGTCCAACTTGAGAACTAACTGAGGAGCGTTATAGCGTCTATCGTGGAACGATTGTCGCAGTTTTCCTAACTGAAGGATCCTTTTTGCCTTCGATTATAACCAAACTATGTGGTTGCCGTTATAGATTGCCCCGCCAACTTCTCCTGTACAAACTAGCCCAAACGCGCATGCCCAAGTAGTACGAAGAACAGCGGCAAAAAGGATGGAAAAAAGAAGACCAGTTCGCTGAATCCACCAAAAAGAAGTTTCCACTTGCTCACACTGTGATTCGAACACAGGATCTCGTCATACCTTCTTGTTACTTATACTAGTGACGCGCTTTACCAACTAAGCCATGCGAGCTTTCATAGCTAAAAATTGAATTTAGATGATACTCGATACCTTGTGATAACTGATGCCTTTCAGGCTAAATGACCGAATCAAAAATAGGATGAGGAGGGAGGATTAGAGTCTCAATGGGTAATGGTACACGGGTAACGGTGCGGTAAAAGAGAGAAAAAAAAATAATGTGAGTCAAGACAGCATAGAACATCTCCTCTTGGAAGGTGTGATAGAAGAATTAAGTAGAGTATTTACATGGTGGTGGTCTCGGGACTGCACTACTTCTTCTGAGCTTCGGTAAGAGAGTGACCGCTACCAGGTGGAACACCCTACCGTATTGTCACCTCCTTCTACCACAATCCAAATACCAGGTGAAAAAATGTGACAAATATCCATGTTGCATCAGAACCCGGTAATGCAGGGTTCAGGGCTGTTGAAAAAACTGGGGAGAATTGACTACGGTCCCCCGAAATTGCGGGGTAAATTGACTTATCTTGTGTTACTTTCCTGCAGCATATGCACTTTGATACCGAACATGGAGAGCAGGCATGAAGCCATAGTAAAACTTATCAGGCGTAAGTTGAGGCCAGCTTTATGGTAACGCCATCTATAGAGTGCATATATCACATGAGCACTATTAATCTACTTACGCTCACAGAATTTTTCTATTACATGGAAAAACCCAGATATCCAATTATGAAACAGTAGCCTAAATCATCCAGCCCCGCCAATCGAGCCTCAAAACTCCGATTAGTCATACCATATGCTATAAATGACTTCAACTCACGTATCCGCAACAGAGATTACATAACAACTTTCAAAGTCATGCGATCTGGACTCTGTACTCTCGCTTAAAGTTTGGCGCTTTTCCCCATTATTAGAACTTTTTCAGGATTTGAAAAAAATACGTTGCCTTAGCAACCATGTGTTTATTATGGCAAAGTCCTGAAAAATTCCCTTCCGAAATCCGGAAAACTGACCTTTAAACTGTAAAATTCCCACAACACTCAATTCTGAATCAAGAAAACGTGAAAAATGACCCAAACCACTCCTCTATCTACTCAAGAAAATTCTATCCCAGTACAACGTCGTGGGTGCCGTCACAGACTCTGTCTCTCAATTCTGCTTACTAGTGCACCACACCCTGCACCACAATTACTCTCTCGGTTGTAGTGTACCCGTTGTCGATTCCTGAGTTTTCAGGCTAACTTGCAAAATCTCATGCACTTTCAGGGTTGCAGCATGATTACTAATCAGATTACCCGCAAATTTCAGTCTATTATTAACTTACAGTTTACTCCGCTACCAAATGCTTTGCTAGTTAGTCAATTAGCGATTTCAAATATCAATGACAGCTCGAAACATGCTTACATCTTAGTATCATGTAACCAAATATCGGTGACTTCGAAACATGCTTGTATCTTAGTATCATGCAGTATACGTATCACAACTGTGCTCTACCCAATGTTCGCGGCACAAAGTCGCTATTACAGCTACTCAGCACCGAGATGATTGGACCAGTGCACCGTAGCTGAAGCTAATCTATGATGACTTAGCCGAGACACAGAAAGAGGTTTGATTATGCCACGATATCGCATTACAATATATTCAGTCTTGGGCAAAGTGTAGGATATATTTTTCTCAAACAGCACCAATTTCTTCAACAGGAGAAAGCAAGCAATCTAATTGGAGAAGACACCCACAGCAGAAGGATGCCGTGTTTGTGAAGACTCAATTTGTTCACTGTGTACCTTTCATACCGCCCTGCTGGAAAGCGGCCCGCACCCTAATAATTGGAATGCATGCATCCATGCAGACTTTGAATCAAGTACCACGCATGTTCTGTAAAGCTTCAACCAATTTCATTTTCTATCTCCTAGGCCGATGGAACAAGGTGGAAAATTGGGTACCGTTTGGCAAGTGCGCAAAATTACTGATGGTTAATTTCCCGTTGAGCACAGACGATTTTAGACATTCCCAGGTTATGTTCGTCGTCCTCAGGCAAGGTAGAATACTCGAGATCAACGGTACCCCCAATTTTCCACTTGTTCCATACGCCCAGGAGATAATAAGGACGTGAGACACGTGTTTGAGGCCGAGACACTCGCTATGCCTTGCTAACTGCTATCGACTGGGCAAGAAATCGTGCATAGTAGAAAATCTGGTTGCACCTTGTCTTGCTCACACGGCACACTTTTTATCCTAATTGCTGGGGTTCACCGTAATATGCCCAACGCATAATACGTAATAACTATCCACCGCCAGAGGACTCCTCGGACTTCTTGAACAAGTCTTCGAAAGTCTGTCGAATAAGTTGTGTTTCTTTGCCCCCTGGAAGAATACGCACCCTGGCACCTTCCCTATATTCCCCGGTAAGGATATTGACCGCAAACTTGGCTCTCATCCACACGTCAAGTGTTGTGCTTTTATCTTAATTTGCAACTCCATGCTCCAGGAAGTCCTTCCACGCACACAGGCCATCTGAGATCCGTGCGGCTGCATGGCATAGTTAACTCTGCGTTATGTATTGTATATAATGCTGCACTGCGAGCTGGGGGGATGTTGTGAAAAGATGTGGTTCATGTGAACCCGTGGAAAACCTCAAAACGTAGTGATGAAGTTGATGAAACAGAATTCTTAACCTATCAGTAATTTTAGTAATCGAGTTTTTGCAAGATGATAAGCAGGTAAGCACATTGTGCCTGAAGATCGTTGTCACCTATTGGCTTGCATGGCTGATGATTTGGCCACCTCACACGTTGAAGCAGTTGCCGAATAATCATGCTAATGATCGATACATGCGTTTCTTTCCAAAACAAACGCCATTGAACACAGAAGACATTAATGAGACATTGTCGCAGAGAGGTTTCACATCATCCCGCTGTTCTACAATTGCGCATCCGTTGACTTTGCTCTAGAAAGATCTGTACGATGACTTAAGAAGCATGAAACAAGGACTCCAAACTTTCTATTCCGCAGGCAGTTTGCCTCAAGGGTAACACAAGGCGAAAGAAATGAAAAAAAAAAAAAAAAAAAAAAAAAAAAAAAAAAATCCCGGTTGTAACACCAGAATGTCTCGGCATTTTGTGTGTATAAGGTGATTGTCGCGTAAGTATCTGTGCTCACCGAGTAGGTCTCAGTATACAGCCTTGAATTGTAAGAAAGCCTTTTGATTCACATTGCTAGCACAAGACGATAGCAAAATTGTTTCGATTTTGTCCCTTGTTAACCTCTTCTTTCTTGAACTTGACTACGTTAGGACAAGGCTGGTTACGAAGCACCCAAAGCTGGTAAAGTAGTTTAGTGGATAATTTTTGGCGACACTTGGAATACCCGAGAGAATTCATTATCTCCTCTAATCGTTGCTCGTTCAGGTATCGTGAATTGGTTATGCATGGTGCAGGTAGGACAAGAAACAATGACGGGAAAAGAATGGAAAGGCTGGGATCATGGTATGTCCTGCGCTGGAGAAACGCAGTTGTTCGCAGTAACATTTCCCCACGCTGTGTTGGTGTGGGCACGTAGTTCAGGACAAGTGAAAGTGATATGATGTCGAATTTCTCCTCGGTATTAGTTGGAAGGGGTCGTTTCATGAAGTCCTGGGCTAGGATATCAGGGTGCTGAGAGTGAAGGTCTATTCTAGTAACGTGGAACATCGCCGACTTGGAGCATGCATTTTCTGTGCTAAGTGCACCTATTTCCAACAGGTGGAAAGCGTCGGAGGGTTTGAATTTTGAAGGGCGTATCTCGTTAATCCATTCCATTAAAACTTTTGAAGAGTCACCTCCCCGCTGCTTAGATTGGCCAATGATCTAGAAAAGATTTGCATGCATGCAATGTATCAGCATTTCAGGCTGAAGCTGCTCGATCTTCGGAACCGATCTCAAAGCTGTTGAGCACTTACACTTGCTTTCTGGTACGTCTCAATGCCTCCATTGGCCTGTATTTCGGCCTTAAGAGCCTTAACAGCTTCGTGATCATCTCTTGCAAGAGCTTGTGCCAACTTCTTCTGTAGTGTATGATGACGATTAATGACCATCCGAGTAGCTTTGGAAGATAGGCCAGCGGCGACTGACGGCCTGCGATGGCACCGAGACAACAGAGCCGACCGCGGAGTACGTGTTTTCTTCTTCGCACGCCCCATAGCTGAGCGTAGGCTGCGGGACTGATGAGGCCTGTTGGGCCGAAGGTGAGTTGGTGCTCGGCAGTTGTAGTTCAGTTTAGGTTGAGATTTGATCGAGTGCCAAGCCCCGGTACACATGGACAGCGACCCCCTGCACGCAGTCGGCAGCGGAGGGCTCTGGGTGAGCACGAGGGCTGGCGCTGGCAGGCGACGAGCTGGCCTGCACGCATGCGAGCCTGTCGTGTCAGCCAGCCCTCTTGTTATTGCGCATCTCGTGCTGGCCGGCACACTTTTCTGTACCGTATTGCTACCCTGCCTGCGCTGCGCTGATTGTCGGTGATGGGAAACCACAGGCGTGGTTCCTGGCACAACGGTTGCAGGGTTCCTGGTGTTCCAACGAGATGGTCCTGGAGCCTCAGTGCCTCAGCAGCAGCCTACCAACGAGCTATGTGTATTCATGGGGCTTGGTGCTGCCCCCCAAATGCCCAATATTACACCGCCAGCACGAGGTGAAGTCGGACAGCAACAGCAACTGCCGTGCCGTGGGACTCCAGTGCAAGCTTGTTAACCGAAGGCATTCTCATCCTGCCGTCCGCGGGGACGGGGAAAACCTTACCCTACGAGACCTACACCAGTACTGAAGTGGATAGTGCATCCAGCGCTATGGCTGAATCAAACTTGCAAGTTCCCCAACGCCTACATTGTCTGATCCCCCACTAAGTGCTCTATGATAGTAGGCATGTTCACAGAACTCATGGAGGAAGATTCCATTGTTGTTCGACGTCAGGCTACGCTTGCAGCTTGTGCGAGTTCGGACTAGCCTACTGTTTTACTGTTTGGCTACAACGGGTAGTTCGCGTGGGGCGGCGGCAAACAAGTCGGAAATTTATGATTCAGA